TCAAATTCTCAGTGCATGCGCATTGTTTCTGAAAGCCCACTTGTGTGATTTTTTTAGAGTGCTGCAGAACTAAGAGCGAACTCATATTCTATGAGCATCCCTGAGGAAGGCAGGTCAGATCACGGAACCAGTGATAGCAACACAGACCCTTCCAATGGGAAGGTTAAATTTTACTCCACAACACAGTAGTAAATTTTCTAAAGTGAAATATTTTGACTACAATGTGCAAATCAGCAACAGCTGTGTTAATTTTTTATCTTCCATACTGAAAAGATGTTTGCTCAACTTTCATGAAGAAAGGATGTGCTTCTATTTGAACCATTCAATTTTAAAGTATATTCTCGAGTATTCTGTGCATCCTACCTAACCTTGCACCCAGGACAGTTTAGTAATAAATGATTTTTAAGTAATACCAGCACAGTTTCTTTCAAAAAGCTTCATATATTAGTAAAACCCCGACTTTTTTGAAAAAAAAAGTCATAAAGTCTGTGACTATTAGGCATTGAAATACTGTACATTAAAGCACAGAATGCTTATCAGGAGGGTGGGATAAGCAAAATTAAGAAAAACAAGTGAATTTATCTAAAGTGGAGGTAATATGCTGTTTTGGTGTAGCTGGACATGAGATTAGACGAATGAAAGTGGAGAAGATTTTAAAAAGACACTGACTCAAGAAAAATAACAAATACAATACGCCAGCCACAGAACTGGCCTTATTGAGAAGAGAGTTTTGGCAAATCCAGTCGGCAATTTCCTATCCCAGAAACCCAGAGCATCCTAGAATGGAAATGCCTAATATTCCACAATCTGTTGTTATGGGTTTCTGTCTAACTGGTCAGTGAATGTTATTAACTATCAACGGGTGGCTTTGCTCCTTCTGTCTTATCCTCAACACCCTCCAGCTGGAAGGTGAGGAAAAGTGAGGGAAGAAATACAGAGGTTTTGGGCAGAATCTTCTCTGAATGGATTAGATCCTCAAAGCTTGCAGTACCTGCCCTCTAATTTTAGCAGGATATCACAGGGGCCTCGCAGCTGCCCGGCCGGCCTGTCGTCAGCCTCATCTGCCTGTTGATCTCTCTGCCAGGGCTTCTGCAAGTCTCCTCCACTTCCTTCAAGCTCCACTTGTCATCTCAAGAGAACTCTTCCCTGTTTCCCAGTGTAGATTCCCCGTGCACCTCTGGGATGATTGGCTGCCTCTTGGAGATGTGAAGCATGATGACCTAGGTTTCTTCCTGTCCTCCTCAACCTCATTTCTTCACTGTCCATCTCACAGCTTGGGACCAAGTCTTTATGACTTTTTACCTCGTCTCTTACCCTCTCACTGTTCACACTTACAGCCTTTCCTACCCCAGTAGTCCCCCTAATACTACGGACAGGTTAGCTTTATCAACTCAGAGTATGACTTGGCCCAGAAACTAATGAAGATTTCTCATTGCCGACCTTTTGACCTTTGATTCCTGCCTCTCCACCACCTGGCTATAGCCTATCATTCCAACTCATTTCTCCTGATATATTCTATGTGGATTCACCCAGAGTCTTGTTGTTCCCCACCTTTGAGTCAAGGTTTCTTATTTCACTGCCTCTGCCATTTGTTTCTTCCAATCTCAATACCATTCACCTAAATTTTGATAACAAAATTCAATCTGCCTTTCAAAGTTCACCTCAAGGACTCTTTCCTTCATGAAGGCTATACGGATCTCCCCAAAGGAGACGAATGCTACTTCTTCTAAACCATAAAGACTAGATTTTTTAAAAGTCTCTTTTCATTTACTATCTTCCCTTAGAATCGAGGCTCTCAGTTCATTCTGAGTCAAGTGGGTTACTCTCTAAAACTAGCTATGCCAGGCCCCACTCAGAGACTCTGACTCAGTAGCTGGAGTAGAGTTGTCATAGTGCTGGCTGCTCTAACAAATACCATGGACAGTGTGGCTTGTACACCACCGGAAATTATTCTCTTCTCACAGTTCTGGAGGCTGGACGTCCTAGATCAGACTTCTCAACATATCCTCACGTGATAGAAGGGGCAAGAGAGCTCTCTGGGGTCCCTTTTCCAAGAGCACTGATTCCACTCCTCAGGGTTCCACTCTTGTGACCTAATTAGCTCCTAAAGCCCCACCTCCTAATACCATCACCTAAAGTGTTAGGACTCCAGTATATGAATTTGGGGTGGGTAGACTCAATATTTGGTCCCTAGAAAGAGACTACTTGTTTGTGTTTTTTTTTTAATTTTTTTTAAGTTGTAGTCAGACAGTACCTTTATTTTATTTATTTATTTTTATTTTTAAGCACTTCACACGTGCTAGGTGAGCGCTCTACCTCTGAGCCCCAGCCCCAGCCCCTTGTTTGTGTTTTTAATACAGATTCTGATAGAGAGCCAAGGCTGAGAACYTTATTTTGAAATTTCCTTTGAGAGAATAAAGGGTATTACTAGGAATGGTAAATGGAAATGTAGGTTGGAACTATATCTCTGAAGTTCAGTTTGTTTGTTTGTTTGTTCCTTTCTTTCTTTCTTTTAATGGAGATAAGATTCCTACTTCCCTGGGCAGTTATGAAGCTGAAGGGAGATASTAAGATGTTAAATATCTAAAACAGACTCCTATAGAGTATAGACACTTAATACATGTTTCCCTCACTTGACAGGAGAGACTCCCAGCTTGACAGGGTGTTCAATACATGATGGTTTGTGATATTTATACTCAGTGCAAAGAGAAAAAGCCACATACTTAAGAATAAGCCACATACTTAAGTTCCCTAGCTAAACTGAGCGCCWGGCAGTAAAGGAAATTCATGGAAGTTACTTCACCACATGGTGGTTTAACTTTGAAATACTCTTCTTTTTAGAAAAGAGGAACTTTCAACATTGTAAACCCATTCACAGAATGGACACATGAACTAACACAGCTATAATTCATAATACAAATGGGACGCCCCACCTGAGAGCTCACATAGAGCTTTTCCAGAGATGATCGCCTCTAATTCTCCTGCTGCCCTCTGAGGGGGATGTTAATGTACCAGTTTTATAGATGTGGAAGATAAGTCTCAAAAGGATTTAGAAGATTTGCCAAATAGCTGCATAAGAAGTGGCAAGACTGTTACTTTAATTTCAACTCCAATGCTCTTTATTCTTCATCACAAGTGGCCCCAACAGTTATCCTGTTAACTTGATCAGAGTGTCTATACATCTATCCTGTTCAAGGAGCTCAAAAAGGCATGAGACAGAAGATATTTTGCCTTGGTTTAAGTGAAGCAAATATGAGTCAAGTGAGCCTGAGCTTCACTGGGTAAAGGTCAGTGCTTGGTGCACATCTACRCTCCCTCCTACTGGGCCATATAACCCACTGGCAAATTCCCACTCGCCCTTTGAGATTCAGGCACATGCCCACTCCAGCCAATTGAATMCATTCTTTGTTTTATAACTAAAGAGAAAATAGACCATGATTATGCAAACATTTCATCTTTTCAGGCCTAAGAAGCAAAACTGAGCTATAAAAATGCAGTTTGCTATTCTGCTGTGCAAGGGTACCTCAGATGATAAGAATAGTCTGCTGCCTTCAGAACGGGGGTGGGAGGGAGCTGTGTCAGTCAACTTTTTGTCACTGTGACTAAAATAACCTTACAAGAAAAACTTAGAGGAGGAGAAGCTTATTTTGGCTCACATTCAGTCCATGGTTAGCCAACTAACCATGCTAACCATTGCTCTGGGCCTGAGATGAGACAGAACATCATGGTAGAAGGGGGTGATGGAGGAAAGCAGCTCAGGCAGAGAGGAGAGAGAGAGCACACGTACCAGGGACAAGATGCACTCCAAGGTCCCCAGTGACCTACTTCCTCCAGCTATGCCCCACCTCCTATGATGGCCATCCRGTAGTTCACTCAAATTATTAATCCATCAAATGGATTAATTCACTGATGAGGTTACAGCTCTTATAATCATTATTTCACCTCTGAACATTGCTCATTGCCTAACACCTGAGATTTTGGGGGGAATATTTTTAGATCCAAACCTTAACAGTGACCAAGTACTAAAAGAGACAGAAATTACCTCCRTGGCCTTGCATGTTTTCTATTTAAAACTAAACCTCCCCCATCTTATTAACTGACTCTGAAACTCATATTATAGGAAACAGTCTTCCCTAAGTTCACATGGAAGTATAAATGACTGACAGTTCATCTTTTGGRGAGAGAGCCTAAGAGAACTCTGGGTCCCAGGCACAAGAAACAGTGAGTCATCTAAGACTCTCTTGGACTTGATTTCATCTGTAGGATGGAGATAATAACATTGTGTCTTTCCCCAGGCTGAGTGAGCATGGACTGAAGTAATGTGTATACAGTGTGTATGTCTGGGACGTTGTAAATATTTATCAAGTTTCATCATCATCATCATCATCATCATCATCATCACCATCATCATCAGTATTTTTCCCCTCTGTCATTTCTATGGGAAATCCAGCTCACAGTTTGGGGATTTTCTAATACATTGATGCCAAAGCCACATCCTCTGAATGCTGCTCTGGGACCTCTATACAAAGCCTACTTGGTGACAATGCATTCAGGTACTCAGTCTCCCCACAGAGAGCTAGCGTGGATAAGAACAGAGATTGTGTTGTGCTTCTTGGTCCCAATGTGCCTACCACTAATCTAATAATATTCCCCTGCACGAACTAATACAGCCCCAGCACCTTATATAGGCAAAAAATGTAAACCAACAACTTCAGAATTATTCCCTTGTTCCTTCTTCTTGACCAGACAATTTTGCAAGAGTAAATAAAACCCCCAAAGCAGAGCTGCAAATTATACTGTCTTTTTTCTATTGAAAGCTTCACCCATTTTGAGGTACCAAATCACATTTTGACATTGCAAAAATTGTCAGAGTGTAATGAACCTGTGTTGCTTCATATTCCTGATGCAACAATTGTTAAAGACATGGCTTTATAAGGGACCAAAAGAGAGCCAGGAGCATCACAGGATGCTGAGAACTTCAGTGTACCCATTAGGCCCTACCCAGAGGAGCAGAAAGGAAGGCCAGGAGAGGTAGAATTGAAGAAAAGGCCATGCTTGGTCTGAAGACATTTCCATTTCTGTTCTTACTCCATATGCAGCTCACCAAGGCTTTTCCTGTACCTTCTGAACACTCAGAAGAGAAAAATGCAAAAATTGTTCAGGTAAATTACTTATTAATTAAGTGGATGGTTGATTTACTAATTATTAGGAAATCGTGCAGGTTTTTTTTTTCTCTCTCTCTCTTCAGTCTAAATAGCCTGAAAGAAATGGTCTGAATGATTTGCTTGAGGTTCCATCTCTCTTCCTTCTAGTGATTTGAAGTGTTCCAAGCTGGTAAGGTCCAGCACTCTAAAATCTAGACATGAAAACAAACTGGGCTCTTCAAAACTTGAGAAAATACTGCAGTCTCCTCCAGCTGAAAATTCATTTAAAAGTAATGGTTTTCTTTCTTACCTAAGATTTTTCTCTTCCACTATATCTGTAATCCAGGTACTACACATCTGCTGCTTCTGATATGGGCATTTTTTTTTTACACCCAAAAGTGTCAGAAATAGAAGAAAACATGAGGATGGGGTTATAATGGACTAGAAGTAGCACATAGTGCAAACAGATTTCCCAGCAACAACTGTGAAACACTTATAAACTCTTGGAAGTATTTTAATTTTAAAAGCAAAACCAATAGCTTTTCTACATTGCTTTGCAGTATAATAGGCCAAATGTTTAATAAATACAAGGGAATGTGGTGTATGTGTTTCTCACACACAATTTTCTTAGCACTTCAGTTATAGAATAGCATTGTTCTTATTGTCTTTGGAGGGTTGGGGTGTATTTCTTACAATGATAACTGTGACCCCAGAGTTAATATCTAAAATCCACTGAGTGCTTACTCTTTACAAGGTACCTTCTGAGTTCATAACAGCCCTGTGGGAGGAAATTATTATTCTTATTTCAGAGACAAAAGTGAATCTTAAATCAGATAAGTAATGTGTCCAAGCCTCACAGTTAAGATTTGCCCAAACCTATTCAATCTCATAGTATGTGCTCTGTCCTGTGTCACCTTCAAAATGTCAGGTTCACAGATCACATGAAATGAGACAGAGACTCAGGACTGGCTTGTTAACACCCATCAGAAATTGTATTTTCAAGTGATTTTGGGGTGTATCAAGAATTGTAATGTAAAAATAAATAAATTTTTAAAAATGATTTTGAGCCCCTTCCAAAGGAAATAAYTTGGTGAATAAAACGTTAATATCAATGATGCTCCCTTTACCCCCAAACATATTCGGACTTCTTTTGAAATGATCAGTTCTCATTAGAGAGGCAACATGGTGAGTTGGGACCTACATTGTGCCTCACTTCTATATGCCTCCGCTTCTTCATTAAACCTCTCCAGTAGTTAAAAATAAAAGGATTAAAATTAAAAATCTGCACTGATGCAACTAATGACTCAACAGAAGCCAAAAAATTCTAGTCCTGATTTTTTTTAAATAGAGGTAAGAAGGCAGTTTCCTGACTATAGCAGCTTTTTGCATGTGTGTGACTTGGTCCTGGTCCCCTGTGAACACTCATTTTTGTGCATGGCCATTAACTTGTACACTAAACAGAGGAGCATTCTTTCTAATAAGCATTGTTCCCTCAAAGTCAACCCATGAATATAAGTTAAGCATTCCTGTGGCTGTCAGAATCTGAGTTTGAGCTCTCTATTAATTTAGAAAAGGTTGCAAAATGCCCAGAGAACTGATGGTAATTTCACAGCAAAGACCCTTATGCTTACTTTGTCCAGAATTACCTAGAAAAGTTCTACCAGCTACCAAGCATCCAATATCGGTCTATATGGAAGAACAGCCCTAGCATGATTGCTGAAAAGCTCAAGGAAATGCAGCGATTTTTTGGGTTGAATGTGACGGGGAAGCCAAATGCAGAAACTCTGGAGATGATGGAAAAGCCTCGCTGTGGAGTGCCCGATAGTGGTGACTATATGTTGACCCCTGGAAGGCCCTGGAAACACACTGACCTGACTTACAGGTGATACTTCTAGAGCTTCAGAATTTACATACCCAGCTCCTATGATATGCCAGGCACAAATGGGTAAATAGCCCTGCCTCTGCAGAGAACGAACCGTGAATGAGTCAAGCATGAACTCGGAAAAAGTATGAGAACGAAAGGGTAGTGATCCCATGGTTGTTTTTTGGTTTTGTTTTAATCCAAAGCCTGCCATTTTTTTTTTTTTTTGGTCTTCCTTCTCCACCAATCTAAAGAAGGCTATGGCAATGGGAGGCTGTCTCTCCAGGTACTGACTTTAGGACCCCCCCCCCAAAAAAAAGTCTTAATTTTGCTGGAGAGAATCTGGCTTGACCTTTCAGTATTTGTGAAACACTATTGGCCAAGTAGAAAATTAAATGCTTTATGTGTATTTAGTCCCTGCAACAAACCTATGAGAGGAAGATGATGTTATCATCCTCATTTTGCAGGTGCGGACATGGAGACGTAAGGATATGCATACTCTGTCCACACTGTGCCTGCTTTTAACCCAGAGGCTCACACTCCCTCCTCATCCACTTTCCAGTGGTGGCACCTTACATATTCAAGTCTCACATAAAGAGTGGCTTGTCTGCCAATGGAAGGCTGTTCCCAGMAGTAACCGACCCTTTTTGCTCCTTCTCATTTTGAAGGATTATAAACTACACCCCACAGTTGTCAGAGGCTGAAGTGGAAACCGCGTTTGAGAAAGCCTTTAAAGTCTGGAGCGCTGCATCACCTCTGACCTTCACCAGGGTATCCCAGGGAGAAGCAGACATCAATATTGCTTTTGCCCAGAGAGGTAGGCTCAAAGAACTCATGCTCAGTTTTGCATCCCTAGCTAACCTGAGATGTGAAAAGGACTTAACTAATTGTTTTATTTCAGATCATGGTGACAACTCTCCATTTGATGGACCCAATGGAATCCTTGCTCATGCCTTTCAGCCTGGCCAAGGTATTGGAGGAGATGCTCACTTTGATGCAGAAGAAACATGGACACAAACTTCTAGAAGTAAGTTAACCAAGATTATGTCTACTTGCAGCTTCTGAATTAACTTTGCACATTAGAATCTACATACATATRTGTGTGCACACTCCCAACTTATTGTAATATTTCAAACTCTCGCAAATGATCATTTAAAAATTTTGCTACCTTAAAAAACTAAGTCATTTTGAGTTTAAAAGAATTCCAAAACTAAATATTGACCTTATTTCCTAGGGTACTATCTGAGTCTGTTGATCTACTATAACAGAATACCTGAGATTTGGTAATTGATGAAGAAGAAAAATTATTTCCTCATGATTTTAAAGGGTAGGAAATCCAAGATCAAGGTGCTGGCCTGTTGAGGTCTTTCTTGCTGCATCCTCACATGGTGGAAGGTAGAAGGGCAAGAGAGGAAAGAATGAACTAGCAGACTTATTAAGAGTATTAATCTAAACTTTCCATTAGGCCCCATCTCTCAACATTGCTGTATTGGGGGGTTAAGTTTGTATCACATGAATTTCTGAGTAACACATGCAAACCATAGCAGGCAGGGATCAGAAAACTACAAACCATGGCCAAATCCTGCCTGGCCCCTGTTTGTGTAAATAAAGTKTTATTAGAGGCAGGACAGGCTCATTTGGCTATGTATTAGCTAAGGCTGCTTTCATTCTGCAACAGCAGAGCTAAGTRGCTGTGACAGAGACTATATGGCTTACAAAGCCTAAAAGTTTACTGACCAATGTTTTAGGTCATATTTTTTTAATATTATGAAATATAATGGTATTTGAAAAGACCTATTTTCCGATTTTTTGGAAATTCAGAAATAATTTGGTTCACTTGGGAAGTTATCCTATTTAGAAAAAAGTAGCCACATTTTCTCACTTAGTTTCATTTTCAGGAAGCTCTTTTTCAATGGTATGTTCCTATGCAGCAAACCACTCCTTCCAGGAGTCTCCTCATAACTAGAAGAGCAAGGCCACCTAAYGGGAAGAAAAGAGCTGAGGACAGGTGTATGCAGACAATGTGGGATTTAACAAAGCTATCAGGTCACAATGTGCCAGAGAGCACATTTCAGAAAATGACAGGAAAGGCTCCTTCTACCTTATTTGGGACTTGTTCCTCCCTCCATTTTCTCTACATAATGTTGTGAATGTCTACTCAAGTCCCTGTGCTAGGAGATGTGTATACCCGAAGATAAATAATAACTCTCCGTGACACTATTCCTCCCCACTAGTAGTTGTCYCCACTAGTTCAGGCAATCATCATTTCTTACCTCCACTTAATGATTCAAATTCCTAACTGGACTCGCCCCCTTCAGACTCTRCTCCCTCTAATTTTTCCCTGCAGCATGGTTTGTCTTTGGAAAGCCCATCTTAGATCACATGACTCTCCTGCTTAAAAGTTTCAGTGTTTAGATAGTCTGCACCAAATCAGGTCTAAATAYCTTCACTTGGCATGGAAGCCTTTTCATGATTGTCCACCCTCATCTGTGACTTGTCTTCACATTTCAAATACACCAGCCACACTGTGCATGGACCATTTCTAGAACACATTTCATGCTTCCCATCTTCCTACACTTGTTCACATTGCTTTCTCTCTTTGAAATGTCCATTTTCTTGCCCCAAACCCTATCTTTAAGAATCTCCCTCATCTAGCCATGCTGTGACAAAAGCCACCGTCTAGCTTGCCTTCAGCGGGAGATGAGGCCTTCCCCCTGAGAGCCTTTGTTTCTCCTATCTGTTCTCACTCATTTTTCTGTGCCTTCAAGTTGTTTGCACACATATCTTCTCTTCTAGATGATGCACTCCTAGAGAACAAAGAACCCCTGAAAATCTCACACAGCCCCTCACTCGGTACCAAGGCACTCAAAGATGTTTTCTGAAAGGTCTTGAAGGCCAGGGAAAGGTGCTTGGGCTTTGTTTGATGGGGAATTTTAAAGTTCTTTGGTATGAAAGGCACTATGTTTGTGGAAGTTAGAAGATGGGGAAAGGGAACGAGAGAGGATGGCTTTGCCTCTCTCTGGTGAAAATTAAGTCCTAGAGCTGCTTGGAGAGCATGGACATAGGAGGAGCCATCCTAGGCTATGGCTGACCAGGGAGTGAATGAGAGACATCCCTGCRTCTCAGTCTCCCCTACTGCCTGAAGGCTTCCTTCCTAACTGCCCATTTACTAAGACCCTACTAATGGGCTGGAGGGTCTAGGCACTGGATAGCCGGTGTGGGGGAGTACAGGAGGATAAATTTTCTCCAAGCCTCAGTCCCATGTTCACAAAGTGTGGGGACTAGAATAAAAGCAGCTTTTCTTAGTTCTAAGACTTGACAAGAAGCTCAGATTCACCTCCTCCCTTCTTCCCTAGATTCYTCCCACTCCCCATTTCTTCAGATAYCTAAGAGAAGATGTAAAAGGTGATCATGGGAAATGTCGCTTGGCTTGGAAACTAAATTTCTAGAGATCATGCTTCTTCCATGTGGAATCCTCCTGAAGTCATTCACCACGCCTGCTTGTATTTCAGATTACAACTTGTTTCTKGTTGCTGCACATGAGTTCGGCCATTCCTTAGGGCTCTCTCATTCCTCTGACCCTGGTGCCTTGATGTACCCCAACTATGCTTTCAGAGAGCCCAGCACCTACTCACTCCCTCAAGATGACATCAATGGCATTCAGGCCATCTACGGTAAGGTCAYCATAAGGAACCATGCAGCACATGGTGGTACCTGGAAATAGGCCCCCATCAGGCCCAGTGAGCATCTCTCTTTGGACTTCTAGCATGTTCTGTCCTYGGGGCAAGCTCAAACTGAACTCTGAAAGTTTCCAGCAATAAATGTGGTATAAGCAAAGGAGGCCTTGGGGATGGAGCCTCTATCACTGCTTTAAAAAAAAAATGTTGGGAAGAAATGTACACCACGTCAATCCCCAGTCATTGTCTCTAGATGATGGGGAGTTTTTCTTCTTCATTTTTTATGTTTTCCAATTTATGTAGTCTAAAAAAACAGGACTGTGCCTTTTCAATACTGCAAACCTGCTCCTAGATATACTTAAAAAAAACCTCACCTAGGTCCTAAGGGGACAGATACAGAGCACGCTGAAGATGTTCACTCAAGTCTTACATATGGTGGTGGGAGTTGGAGGGCACCTAGTGCCATAGGTGGAAACAGCATTAGGAGTGTATATGGCAATAAAGTAAAAGGGTCTTCAAATCTTTGAGCTTTGTGAAGAAGAAACAGAATGACACTACTCTATAAGGTATTAATTAAATGACACAATCTATGACTTTACATAGACCTAAAATGTATAATAGATGAAGCAAGGCATTTTAAAGAACATGCAAACAAAAATGTATACAGTGAACATATTAGAATAGTTGTCTGAAGGAGAAGGGGGGGACAGAAGTGGAGTGTGGTTAAAACAATACTTATTTTTCAGGGAGGCGAGCAGGGAACTTTTGCCTGGTTCTAAGAAGTTCTCTCTGGGTAAAACCACAGTATCTCTCATTCCTGTTGCCCTCCTGTTCCCTAGAAATGTRCAATGGAATGGAGTGAAATGGAAGGGAATTGAGAGGAGAGGAAGGGAATTAGGTGAAGCACTCTCCCCTCTCTGGCAGAAGAGTAACATAAAATTAAGAATGACAATCAGGAGATTTTTTGGTGATGGTTGAATTTCCAGGATCRCTGAACACTAATCCAATTCCCTCTGTATCCCAACTCTCCCCTTCACCCCAAACACCTCCTTTGTTTGCTCATTGATGTTTTAAATTCCCTTAACTATCAGTTTAGCCCTTCATCTTACAATAACAAAATACATTAAAATGTAAATTCTTATATAAAAGATACAGATAAAATTTGAACTATATTTGCAATGTAAGATAAAAGACAAGTATCAGCTATTTCCCTGGATGTGAATTTTGGTGGGAAGGAAGTTGACACTGAATGACCAGAAGTATCAGAAGAAGTAACCAAGAAGGGGGAGAGAATATTAGAAATTAAAGGGAGGAGGGCAGAGGTTTACATTTCTTTACTTCCCAACTTAACCTGAAACTCATCCTGAAAATCATCATTACTCTTGTTAAGCAAACAAACTTCAGGAGGGCCAATGTACAGCAACTTCAGTGCCTCGTGGGAGGGGCTGGCAGCATTTCTCTTCTGCGAAGGCCCTTCACCTTCCTGAGAAATAGCTCAAGTAAAAGCTAAGAGTGACGCTGGACTCATGCTTATAAAAACCCTTTTACCCCCAGGACCTTCAAATAACCCTATCCAACCTACCGGGGAAACCACACCCACAGCCTGTGATCCCCGATTGACATTTGATGCTGCCACCACGCTCCGTGGAGAAATACTCTTCTTTAAAGACAAGTATAAAGTGGAACTGTTCCTTCCTTCTCTTACTACCAGATYTTAAAACAGGATTCTATTTAAGTCTAATTATTCAGTTTTTCTTTTGAATTCTACACATACACACCTCATTGGAAGTTTTAGTGTTTTCTGGGTAACTCAGAACATACAAGGAAAAAAAAAACAACACTAAAGCATTCAGATATTTGGTGTTATAAATAGACATGGGCTATATTTGCTTGGGAACTTGATAAATGTGTTTAATCAACACCAAAACATCATTGAATTCATTCAAAATCAGCCAAGTAAATAGAAGCTATCACTTAGTTTAGCTGTGAGGCAAATCGTCTGACATTAAAATCTTCTCTCTYTTTTTTTCTTTTTTCTTTTTTGCTATTTGTGAGTGGAATCACAGATTTTAAAATGTGTTTTTGCTTTTGTCAATGGCTACCTATATTTAATGACTATTGTAATGAAAGTATTAATGAAGTAAGATCTGTTAATGTGGGAGGACATTTAATTGCATTTGGGGCAATGCCAAATCAAATAATATCACTCCCRTGACCTCCCTGAGGAAGAGACAGTATCACCACAGAGCCTAGCCATGTGCTGGTCACTGTAGTAAAAATTGCATACATGATATAATWATATCCTCCCAGCAATCTCATAATGGCCATTACTACCTGAGAATCACAGAAACTGACAACCTAGACTACTGTGTATATTTGCATGTGGTACACTTTTCCTTGTGTCCTATTAGGTACTTCTGGAGACGGCATCCTCAGCTCCGACTAGTTGAACTCAATTTTATTTCTCTATTCTGGCCATCCCTGCCAAATGGTATTCAGGCTGCTTATGAGGATTTTGATAGAGACCTGGTTTTCCTATTCAAAGGTAACTTCTTAAAGTTTTCTTATTTTAGTTCTTCCTGACAGGAAGGAGCAAGGTTCTTTGTGGGTCAGGTTCTGAAGGGTAAGCCACAGAGAGCTTGTGTGGGCCAGGGCTTTGCCCAGACACCAGGGTGGGCCCCATCTTGGTCACTCTCCACTGCGTGAATTTGAGCAGGTYACGCTGTCTTCAGGCTTCAGTATTGTCATCAACAAACTGAGAAAACCACAGTAGACCCTGTTTAGTATTTTCCATCCTCATCCTAGATATAATTTTCTAACATTTCTCAAGTTTATAATTTAGAAGTCGCATGAGATAGAACATTCAATTGTGGGGCCCCGAATGTCAGGATAAGAAGTYGGAATGTTTTATGGATGCAGGGAGGAACCACTAGGGCTCTCACAGCCCCATGAAATTAACTTTTCTACCCTCATCTTTCAAAGACTGTTTTTTTTCCCATTTTTATTTCTTTATGGCTAATTATTCAAAGACCAGGAAGGAGTATATATTATCTCGTAGAAACTGAAGAACTTTATTTAATGTGTAACCTGAATCATGACAGGCAACCAATACTGGGCTCTGAGTGGCTATGACATTCTGCGAGGTTATCCCAGGAGCATGACCAACTTCGGCTTCCCAAGCACTGTGCAAGCAATAGACGCAGCTGTTTCTTATAGAAGGAAGACATACTTCTTTGTAAACRACCAATTCTGGAGGTAGGATAAACATTTTTCAATTATAAGTAGAAATCCTTGATTCTTCACCCCAACCCTGTCTACAAACCAATAAGAATCAGACATATGAAGGTTTGAAATACCTAGGTAAGATTTGAGAGGTTTTCATGAGACTAGATTCATTTTCACAAGATGACTGGTGTTACCATGGCTTTTGAAGTTTTTATTTTTATAAAGTTAAAATGCCTGCACAATAGTATTGAGAATTTTGTGAAACAGAATACATTCTCATGAAACACTAGTTTGAGATGCAAAGAAAGACATAGGCTAATTCTTATTAATAGTTAAATTCTGACACAAACAAGCAAATAATCTGGTGCCCAAGATGAACATATAATTTTCATTTATGTAAACACACATACACATACATACATACACATACTATGTAACAATTAATTAAAAATCCTTAGAAAATATTAACTCTTGTTTTGGAGAATGATCTTGTATCAACAATAAGAACCCTGTTTTAGAATTAACAATACCCATATGTTTAATAAATAAGTGTGTACCCTTAGATGAAATTAACCATTCCTAATTTCAATAAATAAAACACTGTGAAATATGAAAGAAAAAGTATRTGAGAAGGTCCTTTGTAAAGTTTTAATTGTATAATTAAAATAAAACTGTTATCCCTATAGTTTACATTGATATTAAATCCTGTGACTTTTTTTTTTTACCAGATATGATAACGAAAGACAATCCATGGAACCAGGTTATCCCAAAAGCATATCAAGTACTTTTCCAGGAATAGAAAGTAGAATTGATGCAGTTTTCCAGCAGGATCGTAAGTAAGGGGGGGAGAGAAAGCTACTAATAAATTTATTTATAATTTTTAAATGACACTTTTGCATTTGGATACTATATTAGGATGGGAGGGSGCAGGTGTCTTCTTTAACTGAAAACATCTGATCTCTTTTGCAAGCTAATTCAATAAATTATCTCTTTTTTTTTTGTAGGCTTCTTCCTTTTCTTCAGCGGACCAAGATATTATGCATTTGATCTTATTGCTCACAGAGTTACTAGAGTTGCAAGAAGCAATTTGTGGCTTAACTGTAGATACAGTTGAAGCAAAATCAAATGTGTTCTYATCCAATTTCACTATGAAAGGAAATCCGACTTGCATATCCATCATATTGTGTCCTGTTTATATTTTCCTCAATTCTAAGTAGTGTTTCACATGACTGTTTTCATTTGTCCTAGTCTCAGGGAAAATATGTTTGGAATATTACACAGCAGACCCTGATTCAGTCATCCACATTCCATCTAGTGAATCTATCACAAAGAGAAGGAAAGTAAGCCCTTTGTCACCTCAATATTCTGTTCACCTCATGTGCTGTTTGTTTACTTGATTATCTGAGTTTTAAAATTCACTGTTTCATTACTTGCTTATCTGACTTCAAATATCCCCGTTTCTTTAAACACATCTTACATATACCTACTACATGAAATTTAGCCCTCAATTTTGATTAGAAATAACAATAATCAGCAACACAGATGATAACTTTTATCTTTACAAAAATGTGGTGCTATTTTTCACTCTTGGAATGAAATAAGGATATAATATATTATAGGTTGATTGTCTCTTTCAAAAGAAAATATGTTGAAGTCTTAACATGAATATGAGTTTACTAGGCTCTTTGCAGATGTTATTAAGTAAAGAGGTTGTCATACTGGATTAGGGTGAGTCCTAAAATCATATTACTTTTATCCTTATAAAAAGAAGAGAGGGTTTGGGATATAGTTCAGTGGTAGAGCACTTGCCCAGCATGCACAAAGGCCCTGGGTTCAATCCCCAACACTGCTAAAAAGAAAAGGAGAGAGAGAGAGAGAGAGAGAGAGAGAGAGAGAGAGAGAGAGAGAGGAGAGACATGACCACATAGGGGACAATACCATAAAAGAGCTAGAGATTAGAGGGATGCATCTACAAGCCAAGGTATGCCAAAGATCACCAGCAGCCACCAGCAGGTGGGAAGAGACAAGGAAGGAGCCTCCCAATAAGCTGCAGAAAGGGGACTCTGGCCCAGAGCTACCTGCTGGTTTGAGACATCCAGTCTTCAGATTGTGAGAGAATAAATTTCTGTTGTTTCAAACCACAAGTTCATTGTACTTTGTTATAGCAGCCCTAGAAAGCTAACGGAGTTCATCTGAACGTAAGAAAAGGAATCAATAAGGAATGTGGAAGTGGAGACCCCACTGAGGATTACTAGGCATCTCCCAGGAAGGCAACCAAAAGGAGAGCTCCACTCCCTCTCCTGCCTCCTTCCTGCACTCTCCTTCTAGAGTTCTAAGAGATGGGCCAGTGGGTCTGTTGTTTCCTAATTCTTTACTCCTGGATACTCAGGAGGGCACACTCTACAGCTGACTGCACCAACAGAACAGTGTTGGGTGCAACATTTAATAAATCTTATTAAATTGAACTAAACTGAACATCAATACATCAATTTGCTAAGGATTTTTTTTCTGTTAAGAACTTTAGGACTTGTGGGGCCTCAATGTGTAGCATAGACACCAAAATCATTATAATATCAAATTTGCAGATATTAGAATGCAAAGCGGCTTATTAAATACTAAATACATGAACTGTAAAATATATTTTCACTAGCACATCCTCTTTTTTTTCTCTCTTGAAGTTTTTAAATTAACATGGCATCTTATTCTGATTCAAAATATCTATGAAATCAATTCAAAATAAAGATTCTTATGTTAAATGACTAGTGATCTACTTTTAATTTCTTAAAATGCCACCACAGAGTTGATGCAAAGCATAAAGAAGAATAGAAAATTTTAGATACGTTTATTATTAGTATATATGTGTGTGTGTGTGTGTGTGTGTGTGATGTCCTCAAAAAACCTCCTCAAATATGTCAGCACATTATTTTCAACTTATTTTACAAGATGTAAAAAAAAAACAACAGAGACTAGTAGACACCAACATTCTATTCATTCATTCATTTATTCAGCAGGAATGAATCACCTACAAGTTCCTGGTGCCGTGCTGGGGAAAGTAAGAGAGATCTATAACTAATTCATTGCATCCATGGAACAAGTACAAAAGGACCTATAGGAACTGTACACCCTATTTTTAGCTATAGAGTCAATTTCAGATATGCTTTTTAAAATTTCCTATGATGTTTTTATGTGCATATAAATGAGGCTCATTTCCTCAGAACACCTCCTAACTGTGTAAGCCAATCATGACAGATTCTTCACCCAACTTCATGTATACATTTTGACATGAGAATTGAGTTAATAATTTATTTAACCGTGCTTCACAGATTCACAGGAAGTGAACAGCAATATGAAATGTAATAAAGAATTCAAAAAGTATTCATTTTCCCCCTTTTAATTCTTTTCTTGCCAATGTGTGGTATCTCCTGGCTGCCCCATTGATGTTTTATGTGAGTACATAAGATATAAGGATCTAAGCTTAGAATTAAAATAATGAGATTCCTTTTTAGTTAGGTTGAGTTTATTCAAAAGCAAAGCCTAAGTCAAGACCTTGGTGCAGTGATTTTGGAGGGACAGGCATGGTCCCAGCAAGCAAGAGTGAGGTAACAGGGAAGGCAGAAAAGTCGATACAAATACAGTACAGGTGTAGGTTGTAACAGTTTCTAYTATGCACAACTGGTGATTCCACCAGGGCCTCCAGAGAAGTCACCAGAACYCCTTCAGAGGTTCACAACTCAGATGGACACGGACCTAGAACAATCACCCTTCAGTTCCCAGTCCTCATTAGGTGAGAACTGTCCCTGAAGGTGTTTACAATTTACCCTTCTGGGCTGTACTCTCAGTTCCACAGAATCTCTGTGGCAGAAAGCAGAAAGACCCACAGCATGTGCTTATGGTTGGACTTTGTCAGAGCAAGGTGAGTTACACAAACCTCCYCACCGGCAACAATACAATCAGAGGTGTGCGGTGGGCACCAGAGGCACCGCCTGACATTTTGTTTCAGGGAGATTTAAATGATGGGAATGGGAGGAGCCCTCTTTGAAGAAACTTACCAGCCCAAGGAAAAAGATTCATAGATACTGACACTGGAGAAATCTCAACATGGCAGAGGCCACTAATTACCAACCCTAATATCCATTCTCAACTTCCACTTTTGCTTTGAGTCCCCAATTTCACCAGAGGTAACAATACACCCAGCTAAAAGACTACATTTTATTGTCTTGCTTACAGTTAGACGTGGGCATGTGTTTAATTTCTACACAAAATGTGTAAGTTAAATGTTGTGTGGAGCTTCCCAGAAGAGACTGAGAGTTTGCTTTTCTTTTTCCCTGCTGTCTATAATGCAGATTCTTTATAAAGCTAGAGCTAGAGCTTGAGAAGACACCTGGACCATGGGACATTGATTTAAGAGAGTGGGATAGCAGGGTGGATGTTTCCTACATCCCTGATGAGGAGCTGCCGCAGAATTCCTGGACCATGGAAGCTGGGCTTCTTTTATTTGAGGAAAAAATAAATTTTAATTTTATTAAGACTCTGCTATTTGTTTATTTTTGTTGTGTTCAACTAAATCTCATTCTGACTAATACACCACATGAAATGTCTTGGACCTGCTYTATCTCCCTGCTGGGAAGGTCATCAATTTGTCAGCCAGCCCATGCACAGAAAAGTTTCCAGTYGGCTTTCTTATCTCACATTCTAAAACAGACTGTACAACACCAAGTCACCAAGCATCTGAAAAAAGACTCCAGTGTGAAAAACAGAGACCAAGAAAGAAATTTTGAGGAAATTTAGACAATTCTGGGAGTAAAAGTAAATGTCAAAATAAACTAAGGAACACTTAATTTTAACATTCTCAACAAACAAACAAACAAACAAAAAAGAATAAAAGACAATATTTTACTTCCAAAAAATCACTTCAAATGCAAAAAAATAAAAACAAATGTAAACAGTTACTCCAAGAATTGAAAAGAACTCTTCAAAATATGATAGTGGAAATAAATATTCAATAGGTGAGCTGGATAGTAAAGTTGGTGGCAAATAGTAAAGGGCATATCAGATACCACAACTCAGTTCAGGAGGGTCAATCAATGCACATTCCAGGAAAATAAAAAGAGAAATGAGAGGAATGGATTATAGAAGAAATACTACATGAAACTTACTTCCAATAGAACTTTCCATAATAAAAAGGCCCATTTACTGTCCAATATTAATAGAAGACCCACAACAAGAGATGGTTATAAAATTTAAGAATATCTAGGTAAAGAGAAAATTTTTCAAATTATCAAGAGTCATAATAAAAGATTTCTCAATTGCAACACTGTATCCTACAAAGCAGTGGATCTGGACCTTCAAAACTACAAAGTTACGTACTCTCACATTCTCAACCAAGTGTGAAGATGGAAGAAAAGGAATTCTTAGGCATAAAAGTATTCAAAATATTTGTTTTCCTTGCATTCTTTCTTAGAAAACTCCTTGGAGATAAACTCCATCAAAACAAGGAAACAAGTCCAAAACTGGGTAGAAATTAAATCCAGGAACTAGGGATCTAACACAGAGTCACAACAGAAATTTTCTGGCTCATGACAGGATGACAGCTTTGCTACAACCCAAATTGAAGGCAACAAAGTGTCTTCAAGGGGGGAAAATTGTATTGCTACATATTCTGTAGTGTTTGATTATTTTGAGAAGGGTTTAAGAGGTGTTTTTTTTTTAATTTTTAGACATTGATGAAACTTTATTTTATTCATTTATTTATGTGTTGCTGAGAATCGAACCCAGTGCCTCTCACATGCTAGGCAAGCACTCTACAACTGAGTCACAACCCCAGCCCGAGTAGGGTTTAAGAGTTCTATTGGAGAGGATCCAAGATGGTAGGGCCAGAGGGAGCAGCATTTTGTGTCGCTCTGTGACCCAGATCTCATCTAGTGGGAATACAGCATCTCTGAGAGTGATAGAGGACCCCTATACAGCTGCGCTCTCGTGCAGAAATAACCAGCGCTGTACCCCCCATGTGTGGCTCCTGGCCTCAGCATTTAAGCACTCCCGGACTCCCGACACCCAACTCCCAAAGATCTAGCCAACACAGGGCTCCCGATCGCCTAAGTAGGATCATCTATCAGCACCGCTGCAGAAC